TATGATATTGAGGGCGTAACATACTAGCTGCGCCAGCACCTTCTTGAGGAATAACTGCCACATAAACCCCGGGGCTTGCTACGGCCCCACCAACAGCCAGGCAACACGCGACGGAGTGATGGACCACACCTGTCTTGGGGGCGGCGTGCAGTTCTTGGGCCTCCCACTAACACGTCAAGACACGTCACAATTTTGACCTACTGTGGCTCTGGTCTTAGTTCACTGTAACCGAGACTTGTAGAGGTTTTGATCTACTATAGCCCTGACCTTAATCCACTGTAAGACCTTAATCCCACTGTAACCGAGACTCGTAGAGGTTTTGACCTACTGTGGCCCTGACCTTAATCCACTGTAACCGAGACTCGTAGAGGTTTTGACCTACTGTGGCCCTGATCTTAGTTCACTGTAACCGAGACTTGTAGAGGTTTTGATCTACTATAGCCCTGACCTTAATCCACTGTAAGACCTTAATCCCACTGTAACCGAGACTCGTAGAGGTTTTGACCTACTGTGGCCCTGACCTTAATCCACTGTAACCGAGGCTCGTAGAGGTTTTGACCTACTGTGGCCTGACAGTAACTAAGAGAGAATACAGTTTTGACCCTCAGCTTAGACTTTAACCTTGACCTTAATCGGACCACAGAGAAATGCTGCTCGTTAAGGTTCTGATCTATGGTTTTCAACTCTGCTCTTATCGGACTGTAAACAATACACGTGGCACTTTTGACCTGATGTGACCTTGACCTTTGTTTATTGGTAGCCAAATATGAGCACAACGTGTTAGGTTGCTAACTGATGTATCCACAGGTTTGTTGACATTGTTTAACTAGTCGAGACATATTCACTATAAACATACACACAGACATACAAAAAACAATATACAGATACATATACAAAATATACATATGCATGCACACACACACAGTTCAGTATTGAAAGGCTAAAATATATCCATAACTTTATAATTGGTTGAAATATATCCGCTAGGCAATGGTTCAGAATATTATGCACTAAAGATTTGTTTTGGTGATTGATTTATTTGCATAGATCCTGAAACATATTGGCGTAAGAATCGCTGAAGTATATTTGGCCCTGGATTATATACATTTTCTACAGCCCCTGAAATGCATCAGTTACAGTCCCTGAAATATATCCGCTAAAGAAGTATGAAATATATTCGCTAGTCCCTGAAATATAGTCGAAACAAACGCCTTAAAATATATCATACAAATCAATTCATAATATACACGTATATCCGCTACAGCATAAAATAATCCACGACAGAAGACATATGAATATAGATGATGAATTATGTAACTGGCTCGCTGGTAATTATCGGTCTGTGTTCTTCATGACTGATTATAATAAAATAAATAATTTACTCCATTCTGAAAGCCAATGACCTGACCTGCCCTCTATATTTTAGGACATTGATTTAATTAAATTTTGAAATAATTGTAAAAAACTATTTGATTTGTATTTTTTTACAGTAATTTTTAGCGCCGTTTTTCTTTTGGGTTCGTTTTCTGTTTGTCTGTTATTTTTGTTTTGTTTACAACTCGTTAAGGAAGTCGTACACAGAGTGGCTCGACTCACATCCGTCAAAATGTTTAAAAAGAATTGAAATGTAAAAACAGGATAAACGACATCTTGCCTTTAGTCAACAATATTTATTGTAAAAATTACAATTACGTAAAAAAATATTCACAGCAACATTTTATAGTGATATTTATAATAAATTTTCTAAATATTATGTAGACCTTATATCTTGATGGCTCTAAATTTTTTTTAACAAAGAAATAAACATGACCTGGGGATGTTTGTTTAACTTTGTGGGTTTCTCTTACACATTTTTTAAAAACAGGAAAAACATGATCTATAAAATTTCCGTCCTCTTTTTTTATACATATAAAATGAAGTAAGAAACGTGACCTGCGAATATTTTCTTCTTTACAAATTTTTATAACAAAAGAATAACAGTAACCCCCGAATATTCTGGGGGGTTTTTTACGAATAAAAATAATTAAGAAATAAATGTGAATTTTAAATCTTTCATTTTATGTTTTTTTTATGTAATTTATAAACAACGTGAGACGTGAATGTAACTTCTGATTACTTTTTTCAATTATTTTTGTTCGTTTTTTACACATCAAACGAAGAAAAAAAAACTTTGTGTCAGTCTTTTTCTTCGCATCTTTACACCGAGAATAATAAATATTTTTTGTGCGTGTAATCTTTTTTTACATAGAAGCGAAACTTAAATAAGCTTAACCTAATACTTCCATTCTTTTGCGCTTATATATATATATATATATATATATATATATATATATATATATATATATATATATATATATATATATATATATATATATATATATATAAAACATGACAGTAAAACAGTAAAACAGTGTCGCTAATGGTCGCTAAATCATTCTATATATTTACAAATTTTACAAAATAAACCTAATCTCGGACTTTTTCTGGCTTTTTTACGTTTTCTATTATGCAATTTAAAAATGTAAACAGCAAACGAAACCTCCAAATCCTTCTTCTTTTTTTTACATGATCTCCAAATCCTACATTAAACTTCTATATGATCTCCAAATCCTTCTATATATATATTTTTTTTTTTTGCATTTTATCTGACATTTCCAAAACTAAATGAGAAATAAAAGTGACCTCAAAACTATTTTTTTTCTTTTTTGATGGAATATTTATTAAAAAAAAAGAGGGAGAAATATTGTCATAACCCAGGGAAGTAATCGATTATTTTAGGCGACTACAAAACACAGCACAACTAATGTCCATGGCCAACGCCGCCACCTATATAGGACCACATCGTATAAACAAGTTGAGTGAGAGAGAAGGAGGAGGAGGAGGAGGAGGAGGAGGAGGAGGATAAAAAGACGGTGACGGAAAAGAGAAGAGGGACAGAGAAATGAGTAGCGAGGAAAAAAAGAGTAACTGAGAAGTGAAAAATATGAGAGAAGGAAAGGAGAAATATGAAAATAAACAAGAGAAAGAATGAGGGAGAAAGAATGAGATAAAGAGAGATGACAGATATGAGAGAGAGGGAGAGAGAGAGACGTGAAAAAATAACTATTGCACTAACCAAATACATATATCACTAGACAGTCAGATCCACCACACTACAATCAGATTCTCCACACTACACCACAGTCAGATCCAATACACCACTCCACACCACACCACACCACCACACCACACCACACCACACTACAGGTAAATCTTGGCCCACAGTCTTGAGAATTTTGCTCCCTTAGGACGAGAGCATGAGAAAAACATCAACTGAAGGCAGCGTCTTCCAGGAGTGAGGAAGGTGGGAGAGGGGTACTAAGTAGTGTGGGGGGAGGGGGGAGGGGAAGACGAACGGGAAGAAGTGGAAAAAACGGAGAAGAATAGGAGAAGAGGAAGAGGAGAAGAAAGAGACAGTTTTTCATGCTTTGTAATGGAGACAGAGAAGAGGAGAGTGAAGGCAGAGAATAATGAAAGGGAAAGAGAAAGTTTAAGAGGAGGAGTGAGAGAAGAAAGGCAGGAGGAGGAGGAGGAGGAGGCGTTGGCGAAAACTGGAAATACAAGTACCGAGAAGTAACGCGATGGGGTAAAAGGGAAAAGGAAAGGTGGATAAAAACGGACGAGAGAATAAAGAAGAATGATGAGAGGAAGTAATAGGTAAGGAGATGGAAAGGTAACATCTCAGGTAATAATGATCAGGTAGGAGAGTAGGTGAGGCGGACCTCTTATTTAAAGACCTTAACAAAGTCTCAAGTTCACAAGTTTTGGGCCACAAGGGTGACTCACCTGCTGGAGAGAGGAGGTTTAAGTAGGAGAAGAAGGAGAGGGAGGTTGAGTTTGAAAGGAGGTGAAGAAGGAAGAGGAGGTAATATAGTAAAAAAGGAAGAGGCGGAGGAGATGCAAAACGGAGTTGGAGGAGTGGGGAAGCTATCAGGGGTGATGGAAGGAGGGGAGGGATGAAGAACGTGGAGTAAGGAGGGAACAAAGTAGGATGAAAAAGAGGAGGAGGAGAGTGGCAAGAATGAGAGTGAAATAGATTCACACCTCATGAAGAAGGACGACTCCTCACGGGCCTTCTCAAGCAGGGTGTGTGTGTGTGTGTGTGTGTGTGTGTGTGTGTGTGTGTGTGTGTGTGTGTGTGTGTGCGTGTGCGTGTGTGTGTGTGTGTGCTCCTTCTATCACACACACGCACACACACACACACACACAAATCTCACAAATTCACGTTTTCTCACGTCATTAATAGCAAACATAGATTTATGGCGCCATCTTCTTAGTGCATTCTGCGGCCATAATAAATCAGAATACTAATTACTCTCTCTCTCTCTCTCTCCGTTTCTCTTCATCCACAACTCTACCCGTGAGAGAAAGACTTGCACAATAAGAGTCGCCATAAATTCCCATTAGCTAAATGTAATTTTAATTGTGGACGACCCTGGATGAATTTTCTCTTGTGGAGGGAATGAAGTGATGAAGGTCCCTCATTCAGGTGTGTGTATGACTCAGACGACACTCATTGATAGAATCTGAAGGTGAGGCATAGAGAGAAGCGCACGAGAACGCAGGAGATAATGACATACCGAAGAAGAGAACTGAGGTACGACGGTCTTAGTAATTGGAAGACCTTGACGCTGTGAGATATATTGAATGCGGTGGTTAAATAATGGTGCAAGACAGAATGGTACGAGATACATAGGGAGATAAATAAAATAAATTCCCTTTGTAATTCGACACCCTAAAACTTCCTCAAGATACTGTAGATAAGAGGATCCAAAACAAGATGATCTGAAACACCAAACAAGATGATCTGAAACACCAAACAAGATGATCTGAAACATAACTGAAAAAGTACTGTTACGTGAACTCAAGAGATAAGACGAGAACTTGCAGACGTGACAAATGAAACAGTGAGATGAACCTGAAGGAGTTGTAGAGAAGGAGAAAGTGAAGGAGGTACTCACCCAAGAGCTTGGAGAGCCAGTCTGCCAGGTCCTCCTTGAGGGGTAACAGTTGACGCTCGTGGGCTTCGGCGATCTTAGCGTGGAGGAGCGACATGTACTCCGACTCGGTTTTAGGGTACTCGTCGTCTTCCAGCTCCAAGCAGAACGACGGCTCTCTGAAGGGAGGGGGGGGGGAGACGACAGTCCGTTATAATGAGGTACATGGTATCATACTGAGGTACATGGTATCATACTGAGGCACATAGTATCATACTGAGGTACATGGTATCATACTGAAGCACATGGTATCATACTGAAGCACATGGTATCATACTGAAGCACATGGTATCATACTGAGGTGCATGGTATCATACTGAGGTACATGGTATCATGCTGAGGTACATGGTATCATACTGAAGCACATGGTATCATACTGAGGTGCATGGTATCATACTGAGGTACATGGTATCATACTGAGGTACATGGTATCATACTGAGGTAAATGGTATCATACTGAGGTACATGGTATCATACTGAAGCACATGGTATCATACTGAGGTGCATGGTATCATACTGAGGTACATGGTATCATGCTGAGGTACATGGTATCATACTGAGGTACATGGTATCTTACTGAGGTACATGGTATCATACTGAGGTACATGGTATCATACTGAGGTACATGGTATCATACTGAGGTACATGGTATCCTACTGAGGTACATGGTATCTTACTGAGGTACATGGTATCGTACTGAGGTACATGGTATCATACTGAGGTACATGGTATCATACTGAGAAACGTGGTATTATGAAGTACAGTGAGAGAATGAAGTTTCTTCCCAGCTTTGGCTGAAGTATAATGAAACCTGACAACCCTACACAGTGAATGATGTCACTGGCGATCCCTTCCCAAGGTTCCACAGGCCTGCCAACTGTTTATGGGCTTCACACATGCGTGTGTCGAATGGCTCCACCGTTCTTCGATGTATTTGTCAAAACCCCGGGAAGGTACTTCATTCTCTCACTATACATGGTATCATACTGAAGTACATCCAATCATAAGTATCATATTACTGAGGTCGACCACGGGCCTACAGTAACTCTACACCAATATCGATTGGTCGTGGTGGGATCAATAGCACCATAGAAAGGGGGTGGCGTGGAGAACAGTCTAACCATGATGATGATGACGAGAGACGGAAGGAAATGATACAGGAGAATGAACAGGTAGATGAAATTAACACAGAGAAAAAGGGAACACCAACTTGAAAAAAGACAGAGAAAGAAGAAGACACAAGAAAATAGAAAACGAGAGTGGCCAAATTAAGATATTAAATACGAGTGACAGGAGAAAGAAGGGAAGAGGGAGGTGGAGGAGGGGAGAGAAGAGGAGGAGGAAAGGAAAAAGAGGAGGGTGAAGAAGAGGAGGATGAGGAGAGGAGGGAGAGGTAATGAAGAATCTCGACATTAACGGAGATGCGCCACCTGACACCAAGAAATGTGGGAAGAAAAAAGAACTGGGAACAGAAAGAGGAAACTGGCAACCAGAGGATAAGTTACAGTCAGAGAGAGAGACAGACAGAGAGAGAGAGAGAGAGAGAGAGAGATGCAACATTATCTCTCTTGGGCTCTCAGAGAAGAACACTAGAAAAATGAGAAAGCAAAAATAACGAGGCGAAGAATGGGGAGAGAGAGAGAGAGGGTGAGAACGAGTGAAATGAGAACCAGGAGACATCTTGCAGTATTTACGTCTGTCGGGTCCACAAGGGGGGGAGGGGTTCGAGAAAGAGACTAGTATAAACGTAGAGATGAAGAAGAGGAAGAGAAATGTCCCCAAGTCACAAAATAAAGGAACATTGAACAGATAAAGGATTTTCCCTGACCAAAGTGACGTGAGTGCGTGGGAGTGCATGAGTGATATGTGAGTGCGTTAGTGATGTGAGAGTCCGTGAGAGTGCGTGGAGAACTCTTCAGAGGAGAAGAGTGTAAATAGCGAGAGAATCAATAGGGATTATGACCGACCAGGAGAGTACGAAGACTTAACCCCTTGAGTACGATAACTTAACCCCTCGAGTACAATGTCATCATACTCAATGGGTAAAGATATCTTATTCACAGTGCTCATTCATTGTAATCATTGGACAGGCATCGTACTCAAAGGGGTTTAAATATATTACTCAAAGGTTAATTTATTGTATTTGGGGTTGGTTTCGTACTCAAGAGGTTGGTATCGTACTCAAGGGGTTGGTATCGTACTCAAGAGGTTGAGAAAATTAGACGAAATGCAGTCAAGAATATTTAAGAGCACTGAATAATTTCATGAATAAAAGAGTGAAAGTTGAGAAGAACATTTTTTGGTCACAGTGAATGTTAAAAGATGTTCAGTTGTTCAGTCAGAGTGATTGTTAAAAGATGTTCAGTCACAGTGAATGTTAAAACATGTTTAGTCACTGTGAATGTTAAAAGATGTTCAGTCACAGTGAATGTAAAAACATGTTCAGTCACAGTAAATGTTAAAAGATGTTCAGTCACAGTGAATGTTAAAACATGTTTAGTCACTGTGAATGTTAAAAGATGTTCAGTCACAGTGAATGTTAAAACATGTTTAGTCACTGTGAATGTTAAAAGATGTTCAGTCACAGTGAATGTAAAAACATGTTCAGTCACAGTAAATGTTAAAAGATGTTCAGTCACAGTGAATGTAAAAACATGTTCAGTCACAGTGAATGTTAAAAAGATGTTCAGTTGTCAGTCACAGTGAATGATAAAAAGATGTTCAGTCACAGATAATAAAAACCACAACAGAGAGAACAAAAGAAAAAAGAACGAGAAAATTATTACACGAATTACATAATGAAAACAAAAGATGCGATAACTTTTAGTGGTCTCACCTGACGCACACACAAGGAGGCGTCACCACAAAGTGTGTAACAATAAAAAAGTGATCGTTGGTCTTAGGTGAAAATAGTACAACAATGAAAATAAAATACTGAAAAGAAAATAGCCCCCCCCCCAAAAAAAAATAGTCGGTTTGATTATGTACTAAAGGAAATAATGAGAAAATGGACCAAAAAAGTGATGTGTGTGTGTGTGTGTGTGTGTGTGTGTGTGTGTGTGATAAAAAGAAACAAATTGCAACAGAAACTAGAGAAAGGATATAAAATAAATAAATGGCGGGAGAGATAAAGCAGTAAAGAATCAGATGTTTTTGGCAACGTCTACACCCGGTTACATCACAAACACACGAAAAGTTACTACAGAGAAGGGACAAATTATACGGACGTGACTCATATACACCATTGTTGTCACTCCAGAGAGGTTGCTGGTGATATGATTCAAGGGTCAGATTCACTAACGACTTACGATCACCCTTAAGGCTGAACGGGCGATTCACTAACAGTTTACGACGACCGTAACCGAACTTATCGTACAGCAAAAGCTCCGGTGTCTCCCGAGCACTCATATGCTACAGCAGCAAGGCGGAAATAAGTTCTCGTAACTCACGTTTTCTCTACTATACATTCCGTACCAAAACACACACAGCTGCCAGACGTACTTCAAGTGTCGCTACGTCACTAGTGAGAGAGAAGCTGTGAAAATGGAACTAATGATTACTTTAGCAGGCTTATGACCGTGCACTCCGGAGGGAAAGGGTGTTTAGGGATCCTTTGGACCCTCTACAAATTGATGACCACCTACTGCTACGGTACTACAAACTTTATGTAGGAATATACTCTGGGTGACCAACTACAGCAAGATATTGGTCGAGTAACATAGAGGTCTCATGTGGTCCCAGCGCTTACGTCTGTGCTAAATTGCTCTGAGATTTATCGCAAGTGGTAGTTTTCCTAGTGTAGTTGGTGATGTTACTGGCTTAAGCCAATCAATTGTATCAAGGCAGATAAAGTACAGAAAAGCTAGAGTAGAAATAAAAATGCCACGAGGAGTAAATTCAGTTACATTAACAAATCGGAAATTTCACCAAAAAAGAAAAGAATTTCCGAATATAATTGGTGTCATTGACTACAATAAAGGGACCACCACACGGGCTGACACCACCAACTGATGTATTATTATTTTATTGTACTATGGACAGAGAAGACTTATATACACATCACAATCTCTACTGATAAATAATAAACAACAATTGAAGACATTCAAACACTTAAACTTGGCCTTCCCTTTCTTCTTCTAGCGTGATTGGTTAATATTCCTTCAAAGTGTTTTGCCCCGGGCTTGGTGATTGGTCTAGCGAAGAATCAAATTAAATGTACCACAACCCTCCCTGGCGGTAGCTTTCTGAACTATACTTCCAAGATCGTCCGGTCATTGTGGCCTCTCAAGATAAGGGAAATGTGCGATCAAAGTTACAGCCATGTTAGGGAACTGGATAAAGAGCAAGAATACCTGGTTGGGAAGACGGACAGAGGAAAAATATGGATGGAGGGAGAAATGGATGGATGGCTGGACGGAAATAAGAACAGACAGGACAAAAGAATCAGTACCCTCAAGCCTTTGGGACACACACACACACACACACACACACACACACACACACACACACCAATGATATGAAATAATGTGACTATTACCAACTTCGAGAAAGAATAATAATTTTGAAATACACAGAAGCACACTACAGGCAGATGTTAGCTGGTAGGGTCCAGGAGGTGCAGGAAGCGCTGACGTGGGGCTGAATGGTGCTTCGTCACCCACTACACGAGACACTCCTCACAGGGAAAAAATATTTTAACCTGAGAACAGCGTGAGAAGCCTTGGAAGCATTGTTCGACATGGTCAGAGAGAGCGTTGGGACACATCCTCAGTGTCTTAAGGCGGTTGGGACTCATCCTGAGTGGTTTAAGGATATTGGGACACATCCTGAGCCTCTTGAAAGTGTTGGGACACATCCTGAGTGTCTTTAGAATGTTGGGACACATCCTGAGCCTCTTGGAAGAGTTGGGACACATCCTGGGTGTCTTAAAGATGTTGGGACACATCTTTAGTGTCTTAAGGCTGTTGGGACACATCCTGAGTGGTTTAAGGATGTTCGGACACATCCATAGCGTCTGCGGGTGTTCGGACACATCCTGAGCGTCTGAGGGTGTTCGGACACATCCTGAGCGTCTTGAGGATGTTAGGACACATCCTGAGCGTCTTGGAAGTGTTTGGACACATCCTGAGTGCCTTAAGGATGTGGGACACATCATGAGTGCCTTAAGGATGTGTGACACATCCTGAATGTCTTGAGGGTGTTAAAACACATCCTGTGTGGTTTAAGGATGTTGGGACACATCCTGAGCATCTTGGAAGTGTTAGGACACATCCTGAGTGTCTTGGAAGTGTTCGGACACATCCTGAGCGTCTTGGAAATGTTGGTACACATCCCGAGTGATTATAATTGATAGACAAAGACAGATACAAGACAGACAGAGACAGGAGAACACATCCTACACCACAGAAGGTGAGGCAACAAAGAATATAAAAACAGAAATGAAAGCTTAAGCCTTTAGATTGACCGAAGTGAAAGAGAAATAACTCAAGGGAAGATGTAACACAGATGACGGCAACAACTAGCAGCAGGAGGAGGGAGGGAAGACGGCAGTTTAAGACCCAGCCCAGAGTTTTCAATGGCGAATCGTAAACCAAGAAGGAAGAGGCGATGTCTCGGTAAATTTGAAGTCGAAAGAGGAGGAGGAGGGGAAGAAAGAAGATTTAGGAGGAGAAGGAGAAAGATTGAAGAGGAAGAGGGTTAGTAGTGATGATGTAATTAGTGGGAAAGAGGAAAAATAGGATGTATCTACCAGCCATACAACTCATGAAGACCCGTGTGTCCACCAGCCATCTAGCCATGACCTGTAGCCATAACACGTTACCTGAAAGACCTCACACAAGATCCAAACATCCTACTTCAGATGTTATTATTTTGATACCTGAAATGATTGGGAACCCACATGTGTGTGTCAAGAGTGCTGAAGACATCACACACTTCGGGAGATAAACACTAAAGTCGCGGCTGGTAATTGGGTCTTCGGGGCGAGGAGAGATCCCAGGTCACAGGGATGGATGGTAGTGGTTCTTGCCTACTGACGCTCAATACCACACTAACTAGGTGACAACAGTGTGTGTGTGTGTGTGTGTGTGTGTGTGTGTGTGTGTGTGTGTGTGTTAGGAGACACCAAGTCATAGTTTTCTCGTAAAATTTGAGACGGCAAATCAAGACTTTTGGCGAGGTGAGTGTAGGAAGTGATATATACGAACTGTGACGATGACTGTGGTATGAGGCGATGATTTGTAATATGAGATGATGATATGTGGCACCAGACGATGGTACTTTAGGTAAAGTTACAATAGTTAAGTTAGGTTAGGCTTATTTAAGCTAAATATGGTTAGCTTCAGCTAGGTTAGGTTAGGTTAGGTTAGGCTGGAATCTGTCTAATTTGGTAAGGTAGAGACTGCAGTGAACATATCTTTCGTGAACCATATACACGCCAACCACGTACACCGCTGCTCTCTGTTTCTGGTTGTGTGTACTCTGTATGTATAAGAAACTCGAATATTGGACGACGTTGGGGTGACAGCCAGTACACAACGGTCATTTCCCGGGTGTGTTGTGATGGGACCAGACAAGACAGCGGCACACTGACGCAGCTGACACTGTGCCCTTTACACCAGCCCAGCTTCCCTTCCACATTAAAGGAGACAAGACTACTACCGATTCATACATGACAGGAGAGGAGTGCGTGTGTTGCACCTTCATGAGGCATCACCTTGTATGTAGGAGGTACACTAGGCACCAGGAGGAACGGAGGAGTGACAAGGGGAGGATATTCTTAAATACAATGTGTGTAGTGCGCCGGTGGTTGACCCTGAATTAAATAATTATACATTAACTTTATATCACATTCTATTAACAACAACGGAGGTGAAGAGACAACTAGGTTATTGGACGAGTTTGTTGGTGCTCAGGACTTGATGAGGATCTGTATATAATCAAGTCGTCATCTCAGCCGCTACTGTAACATAATCCAGTATGTTACAATGAAGGCTTTGTAGGGAAACAATATCAAGCTATATTAAAAAAAAACATGTATGGACAAACCCGACTTTCACATCAGACGTACAAACATACAGTACATCAGCCTACAGTATTGGTGAAAATGGCACTAACTCGGTAAGAGAATGTTAAGAGAGTTACGAAAATGAGTCATGTTTAGAGTAACTAGTCAACTCGCACAACCTAGTTAAGAGAAAGGATGATGCGATCTGGCTAGATGTTTGAGGTGCCGTCCAGGTGGAGAGGAACTGACTTGGTGTATGGGGGATCTTACTGTGATGAGTAACTCTCCCAGGCGAGGTACTTCATGAGTTCCTGCTGGTGGGGAGTGACCAGGTCTCGATTGGAAGATCTAGCCTGGTCAAGGTATGAATGATTGTAACTGCCTTGGAATGTTTGAAAACTGTACCTCGAGAGTTACCTCACATAGCCTAGTCTGGGAAATTTACTTGGCCCGTACTAATTAAATCTTCTGGTACAATGGAACTGCCCTGACCTGCTGGGAAGGTCCGGCCATCTTACGGAGGATCTTGTCAGGCAATAGGCTGGCAGATCTTGAAGGTCTATCTTTGCCTAATTAAGGAAGAACTGATTGTGTTTGGCCAGGTGGAACTATTCTGGTGCATACAAATGATTAATAGTGACAAGCTGGTATAATTAATATGTACTAAGGGTAACTAACCTGGATTTACTCCTGGGTGTTCGCGGAGTGCGGGGAGTTCTGGGCGTGACCACAACCTCAGAGGAGGAGCTGGAGTGGAGGGCCGACTCGAGGCGGTCAGCTGCATCACTCACGCCCGCGTCCTCATACACTCCACTGGTATCCATGGCTCCCCCGCCCACGCCACCCGCGTCAGTCGTCGTGTGTGGTGTGCCCGAAGCGTCTTTGGCTGCGGTGCTGCCGGACCCAGTGACTGTCCCCTGACGCGCCGCAGTAGCGTCCTGCGACGGGGTAGCCTTGGGGTCTTCCTCTGCAGCCCAGCCGACTTCCCGGGTAGGTGCGGGCGAGGCTTGTTCGTCCTCCGACTGCCCCGGCGTGGTGGGCGCTGAGCGCTTGCCTGGTGTGGTGGCGCCTCGCCGGGAGCCACTCCTGCTCCTGTTAGGGGTTCTCGAGGGCTGGTCCAAGACGAATTCGACGGAGCCCCTAACGGGTGTATCGTCATGGGAGCGGCCAGCTCGTGCCCCTGACCGCCCCGAGTCTTGCTGGGAGCTTTTTAACGGGTTTGTCTTGTGGCCCCGCGGGGTGGTGCCGGCAGCGGCGTGAAGACATCCCACGGGCGTGCGGTCGTGGGCGCCGTAGACCCTACGGATAAATGTACCAGGCGGGTGTACGGGCGCGCTACAGTCTGGCTCAGGGCGTGGCGAAGGCCCTGGGAGACCCACAGGTGAGCGGGCGGGGGTGTGGCTGGGTGTGGTGTCTTGGGATGTCTCGGCCCGCGGCCACCATCGTCCTGAGTCTGACATATTGCTGCCGAAGGCCAACTCCACCGGAGACATGGTGGCGCTGTCTAATCCGCCGTTGTAGAGGGCCTCTCCCACCCCCTCGGGGAACCCCGCATGTGTGGCGGCGTACTCGTAAGTTGTGGGTGCTGTAGGGGTACGGTAGTGCGCCACCGTGAAGAAGGGCACTTCGTAATCCGTGTCGCCCCTACCTGGGTAGGAGGGAGGAGGAGCATCGCCAGGGAAGGGCTGGTTGTCGTAGGGTCGAGGTGAGGGATCAGGGGGAGAAGTGAACTCTGGGGCCGCGTCTGCCGCCCTGGGGGAGGGCAGGGACTCAGGGGTGGTACACAATGTGGTCATGACGACGCTCAGTACACTACCACCAGCTCTCCAGTACACCCACACTCCCTCTCATGCACCAACTTTCTGTCCGTAACAACATATAAAGGCTTGAGGAGCGTGTGTGGTGGAGGCAGCAGGGACGGTCATCAAGGGCAGGCAGGAGCGCCGCAGTCCGGGGAGCCGCCACCTACGCACCAACTTGTCCTACCACCAGCCGCTTCTCATGGACGGTTAGCTAACTTCACCAATCTGAGGCTGCATTCACAGCCAAATTGGGCAACTTGAGCTTCATCAGCCACCCTCACACCCACCGTCACTTGCTGTTATGACAACACAATCACTTTCTACACACTTCATGCACTCAGAACGAAGCTAAGAACTTCGATCGTGTTATCATTATCATCAACTATACTACCTTATGATTTATAGTATACACTTAAATAGAACTATAAACCTAAAAGTATAAAACACTGTATTTGCTTGTTATGGTGAAGCTGTCAGGGCGTCAGTAGCCAGCATCAAAATAAAGTTTACGATGGTGTGTTAGATAGAGGCGGGGGTCGGCCCGGGTGTGGACGGCCATCTCTTTACTGTCACAACCTCACGGGGACAACTTTGCTGCTACCGCGCCACAACCATCGTCATCTGCAACACAGGAGGAAGACAACGTTAACATGTGAAGCTGCCATAAAAACCTTAGCTGCTTATAACTGGTAAAAAAGATAAAGAATACAATAACAGTACTACAATGTCTAGTTATTTGTTTGATGTTGTACACTTAATTTGTATAAATATTAAATCTTCAACACACACACTTCAACCTGAAAGAAAAGAAACAGTGTTATAAGAAATGACCGGAGTTATTCCCCATCACAATCACTACACTACTTGTGGGACACCCTGTACTGTGTGTAGGATGGTACTGTACTAAGGGGGTTAGCCATCGTACTCATGGGGTTAAGTCATCGCAATCAGGGTGTTAAGTCATCGTAATCAGGGTGTTAAGTCATCGTACTCAGGGTGTTAAGTCATCGCACTCAGGGTGTTAAGTCATAGTAATCAGGGTGTTAAGTCATCGTACGCAGGGCGCTAAGTCATCGTACTCAGGGGTTTGAATGCGTTACAGAATAATCAGGTTCATAATCTAAATACTATGTATCGAGATAAATAATAACTACCAATGTCGTACCCTAAGTTTATCACAAAAGTAGATGTCATATTTCCACTCTACCATAAGACAATACTTTCCAAATGTTTCTCCGGAAAAAAAGAAGATAGAAACAACAATATGGTGACGGAAGTAAATATCAACTAAATCCCACCGTCACGACAGAATTGCAAAATTAAGCTACATTTTATTTTAACAACAGTTGGTGGGCTAAAATTGTGTAATTCCCTCAATTCCCGTTTTTCCTTATGACAGCATTTTTTTCTGTGACTTTAAGATTCTGGCAACACTAAGAGAACTCGTTTACTGAAATAGACAAAAGACCTCCTCCATGCACTACGGGGACGGTAATTCCATCAACTTGGTAACAGGGGAATGTGTGCTTATTGCGGTAAAGGTAGAGGTTATTACCGCACACATACACTGCTTTAGTCTCTCTGGTTCTTGCCCAAGTGCCCAGGTGGTCCTTGATGTAAGTAGAGTGTGTCAATGCATTACAAGTTGTTTTATTACCAAAGTACCAAGAGTTGTTTGAATCTGTTTGCGTTTTTTCCAAAGTATCGTGTTTGTGGTTTTGACAAAGAAACACACATTAGCTATTCCATGTGTAATACATTGCTTGAACACACACACACACACACTCACATGACGCAGAAACCAACGTTCATATCAGTCATTACCCTCCACCATGGCATGTACTGAGCAGTGTGTGTGTGTTGACCATTATAACTATCAATCTCGTCCGTAAAGTGTTATAGCTTAAATCATCATCTTCAAAGGGTTAGCATTATAGTTACGTTAATATGTTGAGTTCAATTACTTCATCCCTTGAGTACGATGAATTGGGGCCCTGAATACGATGACTTGGTCCCTTGAGTACTATGACTTGGTCCCTTGAGTATGATGACTTGAACCATTTAGTACGACAACTTCAACGCTTGAGTACAACACCATCGTATTCGAGAACATTGCCCACCGTATTAGAAGAATTAAGACATGGTTCTCAAGGGGGTTTATATCGTATCCGGGAGACAAAAGGTTATTGCATAAACCACCGTCCTCATACAGCCAACATTAAAGTTGCATTACTAAGCTCAACTGAACACACCAACATTTTGGTCTGATGTTAACGCACCACTTTTCATGAAACATTAAATTCACTCGGCGCGAAAAATAAAAATGTAGAAGTAAAACTGTATAGAATATTTTAATCTCCGGATGTCAGACCATGAAAGTGTGCGACGTCGAAATGTCGATTTCAATTGCATTAAATACAGTGCGCGCGCGCGCGCGCGCACGTGTGTGTGTGTGTGTGTGTGTGCTAAGACAAATCTGAAAAAGTGCCAAATCGATCCCCTCACCTGGGAGAAGCACCACACGAGGTGTCAATACTTTCGAGTTAACCCCACTGCATACCGAGGCAGACAAGTGCCAGCGCTGGAAAGACGCTGCCGTGCCCCTTCCGCACTATATGTAGCCCTCCACACGTGCAACATCTGTGGACTGCCATGGCGGTCCCATATCGGCCTCTCGAGTCACCTCAGAGCTCACCAATGAAGGTGACATCCTTAGTAACTCATATCATTGTATCATAGCTGGGTGATCGTCATACTCGATTCCGAGTGACAGCAAAGTAGTAGTACTAGTTGTTGTGTGCGTGTACAGTATGTGTGTTTAACTATATTGTATACAGATTCAGAAATCTTCATGCAGTCCATGTATTATTATTATTATTATTATTATTATTATTATTATTATTATTATTATTATTATTATTATTATTATAGGGTGCGTTTAAGCTTCCCAGTTTTTTACCTTTCTGACCTGACTCTTGGATGATCTTCGAACGAGGAAAGTACTGTATATTTTACAGTAAGCAGAGCTTAACGCGGCCTCTCACCACTCCCGGTTATCCTCACTTGACTACGTGTTATAACACAGGGTGAGCCAAAGGTCACGGAACATAAATAATACAACTTATAAATTAATTTAATAAACATCCAAACGAAATAAATTTAACTTACTTCCATTTTAAAATTATCTTTGCTATATAACAGCAGAACTTTCTTTTAAAACATCAGAAGTTAGCTTCGCTATGTTTTGTCTCAGCTGATTCGGAGTTCTCAAAGTTTGTACAAGAAGGATCTGAGGTGACCCACAGGATGTGGTTCAGAGAGATCAAGTCTGATCTGGTCAGTCTACTGCATCTCTCCTCCCAATGGTGATGTGTGAAGAGATTTACTTAAGAGAATCATGAACCATGAGAGTACAACGTGTTGGAACTCTGTCCGTCTTTGACTCAGCGACTGTGGAAACGTTAGCAGTACACACTGAGACATTACTGCCGACAATATCTTAAGATGAATGAGTCCAAGAAGTGTCTCTGTATCCGACCAGCAGTAGTGTTTACACCAGACCAAGATCGACTGTGATGAAGATTTTCATGTCCCCTGAAGTAAATCATTACCTCCTCACCGAACATAATATCAGATGGCCGGGCGGGGTGTTTGAAGCACCAGTCATAAACACAGCTGTAATCAACGGTCATATTCAGCTCCATGAAGTTCTTGCATCATAAAAACTATGCAAAGGTGAAAGAGACGTTCTCTCTCAGTACATGTGGCAAGAACTTCGTGACACAGCTATCTCTTGTGACAGTGTTCTAGTTCAGGGGTTCTCAACCAGGGGGGAATTCGGGTTTTCAGGGGGGTGGGGGGGAAACTGATTCGGGAGCAAGAGATGTTCGATGAGAAATCAATCACAGAATTTTGGCCCTTGATGTGCGATTACTACCCAAAAGTGGCAGAAAGAGCTATCCGTGCATTGCTTCCGTTTGTGTCGACATATCTTTGTGAGTCAGGCTTTTCAACTCTGTTGCAAATTAAAACGAAGCAACGTAGTAGATTAGAGGTAGAAAATGACCTGCGTTGTGCCCTTTCAAGCACTCCTCCGCGTATCCCAGAATTGGCGAAGAAAAAACAATCACAGGTTTCTCATTGACTGTAATCTTCATCTGAATAAAATTAATTACAAATTTACAATATCCTGGTATTCTATTGAACTTTTTGTTTATTGCATTATGCTTCAGTTTGGTCTGTTAAGTAATTCATTATAAATAAAAAAAACTATTTTACTTTTATTCAAGTTTTATAAATCCATCAACATTTTCAATTGGCATTTAATTTGTAAAACTCCACTATAAAAATAATCCATGTAAAATTGTAAATGTATATGTACTAATATGGAAAAAATAAAGGATTTTCAGTATTATATGCATATTATTTGGAATGCACTTTTTGAGGCAGACAATCTTGGAAAGGAGGGGGGAATGACATTCTGACATATGGTGAAAGGGGTGCATGGGGCAAACAAGGTTGAGAACCACTGTTCTATATGATTATTTTTTTACTTTTCATGACATAATGAAACACTAAAGTTGAATTGTTTTCCCTTGTGGTAATTTTCGCTTGACCACTGCCAGATCAGCCACGCCCACTAATTCAACTTGCTCGTTTTCTGTTAATATTTTATCCATATTTACCATTTAACTGAAAAGTGAATATTTGAGTAATAAATAATACAGGTAATCACTTGTATTTCCTTACTTTTGGCCCAGTTTTAAGCTAAGCGGTACACTGGTTTAGTTCTTTCCATTTGGGAGTGTTTTTTTCCTTGTAGTGTGAAGGTTAGAGGCTCCTTCACGCGAGCTTCATTTCCTTTCATTTTTCTCAAGAGCTTATTTGAGTCTACCCCGTGTTTGTCCAGTCTTCTCATCAAGTACCGCCTCTGTCCCTCCCTGCCGCCCTCCAAGCTCAGATGGGTGCAGTCCGTTACCTGTTCCTTGTTTTCATGTTTTTACAGTACACCGTAAGCTAAATCTGACACTGATTTAAGCCACCAAATACATGAATTGTTGACTTTATGGCAAGACAATCATGACTTTCAGTGCATTTTATACCGATTTACGTCACAAAATATATGGATTTTTTTTCTCGTCTTTGCATTTTATAACTGAAATTCGTATCTAGAGCTGACGAATAGATGGATATAACAAGGTGCAACGCACAGTACCAGTCGACGTGATGGGTGACAATGTGCTTCGTCTTCTTCTTCTTCTTCCCCCCTGATCTCCCACCCCTCCTCCCCCTTCTACTACACCAACCCCTCCTCCTCCTCCTCCTCCTCCTCTCCCTCCTCCTTCTCTCCCTCTCCCTCCTCCTTCTCCCCCTCTCCTACTACACCAACCCCTCCTCCTCCTCCATCTCCCCTCTCCCTCCGCCTCCCCCACCTCTCCTTCCTCCATAAAACACCATGATTACATTACCTTCAGCTTTACGACATGGCTGAAACAGTAACACCCAGTCACACGGTATCCCAGCGCCACGGTATCAGGGCTCCTACACTCACATTAAACATCTGAACATTACACATTCTTGTCACCTCCGCGTGCCGTCTGCCAATTCATTCATACCAACAG